ACAATAAATTTATCATACATCTTCTTAGGCCCCACTAGCTACTGCTGTCTTTCCTTCCATTAACACTCATACAGTACATTGAACATAACGGAGGTATCAAGTGTTCACAACTTGACATAGGCCACCAATGCTTGTGTGTCTTTAGGAAATTTGTGTGTGTGTGTGTGTGTGCAGAGCCCAACCTGAGGATTTTATACAGGTAGAGGAATACATAAACCTTGTGCTGCTTCAGTGATACATCATGGGTGCTCGTAGTTCTCTTGGAGATTTGCTCAACTTTCAGAGTGTAACATGTAAAGTGTGGTGATACAAGATGCTCTATACGGAGTCTTTAAGATGTATAAATCTATTTTGTTGTCAAATTTAAGTTGTATGTACAGATAAGGGGATTAGAGAGGGCGAAGGAGATACTGTATAGTGATAGGGTTGCCCGGAGGCTCATGACTTTCCTCAGGGGAACTCTGGTGGGGATTGAATCATCACAAACAAGATAAATGATGATCTGGAGTACAGTAAAGCCTCAAATAACGACGTTAATGTGTCCTCCAATGTTGCAGTGTAAGGTGAATCATTAATTACCATTAAAATAAAGCAATAATAGTGAGATGCGCTCCCAAGTGTGACCTTTTCATAACTTTAGTGTGGCTTTTTACCCTCTTTTCCCCCCAAACAATACAATTAATGAAAAATGCAAACTATATTCTTTAAATGATTTTTATGAATGCACCTTATACAATATACATCAATACAGTAATAATAAAATCACACAAGAGGAGATGGGACGCTATTGTTGTCAGTGTTTACACCCATAATGTCAGTTATCCATCTGAAACTGAAGAAAATAAGACCCTGGTTGTTGTTGTAGTAAAATCAATGTAAAAAATTTTTTTTGTTTTATTTAATGTTATTTAATGTACAGTAAAAGTAACCACTGATGTTAAAGAAAAAGAAGAGTGATAGTGGAACAGAAATGTTTACTTGCGCCCTCAAGGAAACCTCGTCATTTATCTTAAAAATATGTACAAAAGATTCGTTATTGATTATTACTGAATATGTATTTGATTGAATTAATGTTTATATATGCAAAATTAACAATGCAATTCATTAATAATATGTAGATTATTAAAACACACAAGAGGAGATGAGACGGCATTGTTTTCGTGAGTGTTTACACCTGTGAGCCCGTGACGGTGGTTCTACATAAGAAACTGAAGAAAATAAGACCTTGATTGTAGCTGTAGTAAAATTATTGTAAAGAAATGAATATGTATGTTTTAAGTAATGCTATTTAATGTTAATAAATGGAACAATAGAAGTAGCTAACCATTAATGGTAAATAAAAAACGAAATAGATTGGGAACGCCATTGTATGTAAGTGCGTACATGTGAAAACATCGTCATTTCTCTAATTAAGAATATGAAAGCAACTCTTCTTACTGTTCATATATGTTTTAAATAATACTTACTTATGTAAAACAAAAATTCTACTCACAAATGGTGGTAAAGTCTAAAACATAAGGACAGCCAATGAATATTGTGCGAGTTTGTACTCAAATGACGAAGTCATCAGGTTCAACTCTGGCTGAACCTGAAGCTTTCCATAAAGGTGTCATAGCTGGTGCTGAAACTGTTACTGAACCTGAAGTTTTTGCTGAAGTCAATGGCTTAGGCCTTCGATAAAGCTGTCGAACGAACCTTTCACAGCCGCTACATCTTTCTGTAGAGGTCATATGCGTTTTTCACGTCCCTGTTAATTTTAATGCTTCATTCTGTTAATGGATCCACTTCAGAAAATATGTTCATTGCTTGCTCCATATAATATCCACAGACCTCTCGCCTTTTTCATATCGTTTTAACACATCTAGTTTCTCGACTAAGCTTATGCAGTACAGGACACTTTCTTTTAGCTTTTGAACCAGCACTACCATCACTTGCTCTCTTGGTCATGTTGAATAGGGATGCAAAAAATGCTGTAAGAAACCTGTTCAGATGCGTGAAAACAAAGGGCCCGCCAGCTGCGACTGTTTATGCTGGCGTCACCACTCACAAGCCCGGCAGCCTCCGTGCGCAAGGCGCGGTTTTTTTCTTCTTTTTTTGTGTGTATAATACAGATCGGGATTTAGTTATTATTTATATGAAAATGTAATTTTACTTAATTTTTTTAATATTTTTGTCGTAAATACGAAGAAAATATTGGTGTCAATTGAATTGAGTCCTAAATTAACCATGGTCTTAAGTAGGATTCGTCATTAGTAGAACCGTCGTTATCGGAGGCTTTCCTGTATGTCTTCACTGTCTCTTTGCTTGTAATAAACTGTACATAGTATAAAAGAACTTTTCTGATGCATATTTTCAATGATTTAAGAGTCTACAGTATTGAGTATACAAGATATACCTGGATAAATGATGTAGAAATTCATCAAATTCTTTTCTTATATAAATTAGTAAAATACTTATAGCACCAATTTGTTGGTCAATGACCATATTTTCTAGAGCGTGAGGATGTGGCAATACTATGCATGGATCAGACATCATATTGTCAGTTTTGGTGATGGCAGTTGGCTTAACAGCTTATAGATGAAGCCTTGCAGGGGAAGCAGAGAGGGCAGAAGAAATGTGCAGTTATTAGGTGGCTTGGAGAATTATTATGGTCACCTCACAAAGGGAATTGAGTCATCAAAGATATGGTAAAAATGCTATGGTTGTGAACAGTGAAAAAGAATAAAACATTTTCATTATGGAAGAATTCCTGAAAGTACAGTATGTTGATAAAAATATAAAAAATCCAAGTACTGTAGTTAAAAGTCTTATTTGTTACAGAGAAGTCACTTTTTATTATGAAAGAAAATGCAACCATATGTATTAATACAGTACAGTACTGTATATCAAATATTGGTGTACAGTACAATCAGTCCCCGAATTACGACGGAGTTTGGGACCGACGACCAGGTCGTAAGTCGAATTGGTCGTAAGTCGAAAGTGCGAAAATAATACATAGAAAATCTAAAATGGGTGTCTCTTTTTCTTCTCAGCACAATGAGAACTCTCACTTTTACGCTTGCCAGCCATTTTAAAGGGAATTACAAGCGAAAATTTTGTCAGTACACAGCGCAATCACGAACGTCGGGACTTGAAAATACGTTATTTGAAAAATATTTTATACGACTGCGGCGGTCATATGTCCGGGTGGTCGTAAGTCGAGGAGTACCTGTATTAGTACAGTCAGTTTAGAAGTTACAGTAAGCCTTATTGAAAGGAACTTGGGGCTTATGATTATTGTTAATACAGTACAGTAGTACCCCGATTTACGCGGTCAATTGAACCCACAGGGTACAGCGGAAAGTGAAAACCGCGTAAAGTGAACAACAGAACATATGGGATTAATTCCAGTAGAGACTGGCCCGACCCCCAAACTCCACTTTTTCAGACACAATACCTACGTTGTAGTAAAAATTACATCTTAATTTTATGATGGTATGCACACACAATTAATAATTAAGAGAAATATCAATAATATTAGTTTTTTTAACACTTACATTAGTAGAAAAGATGGCTGGTTCCGAGGCAGAGGGCAGATTATTGACCCTCACCTGTATCACGTGTATCAATTGTATCACTATCCACCACATAGGCTTGCAGGGCCTCTTTGTCAAACCCCTCAAAGTCCATATAAGTCCATATCCTCACTATCACTATCACTGACTTGGGCCGGCTGTGGTGGGTGGCGGGTGAAGAACTCGGTAATGTTTTGATGACTGGGCGACCTTGTGCGCATCCTGCCCGCGCCGCTTCCCGCGTATATGAGTAGATGCACAGCGTAAAGTGAAAGTCCGGTTCTGGCGAGGTACCGCGTAAATGCGAAATCGCGGAAAGTGAAACCGCGTAAAGCGGGGTATTACTGTATAGTACTGTATGCTCTATGTATACAGTGCAATAATATCACTGTTAGCTGGATTGAAATTTGGTCAGAATTTTTCTGGAAAAGTTCTCTCAATTCTGGGTTTGGGATTGATTTTCCAAGGTTGAAAATCAGGCTCTTTTCTGGCAAATTCGAAGAAAATTTCTCAAAACTCCAATTGTTTTTCTGGACCTGATAAATTCTGAGGTTGAAAATCAGCTGCATTTTCTGAAAATTCCGAGAAAATTTCTGAAACTCCAAAAAAAAAAAATCTGGGTCTGGGAGCAAATTCAGAGAGTGAAATAATGCGTCATTCTGGAAAATTCCAGAAACTCTCCAAATTTTTTTTCTGTGTCTGGGAGAAAATTCCAAAAATGAAATGATACACAATTTCCCCAAAATTCTAAAGTTTTCTCAGTACCCGGAAAAATTCCGGGGATGGGGTATTTTTTCCGAGTTTGAGAGAGTCTCGTTACCGGGAAATCTCTCATTCTTGGAAGTGCTCTGCACCAATTGTTCCGGCTAACGGGAATATCACTATATATGATTAAGAAGTAATTACTATTAATACGAGTATGCGTACATAACAGAAATAAGAATTATAGCAACTTGTTATGTTGGGACAAGGTTTTACATGTACATACAGTACTTTAAGAGTAATTAGTACAGTATTATTAGAATAAGCATTAAACAATGCATAAGAATTCACAGTACAATAGGGCTTTCTTTTTCATACTCTTCCATAATATGCACACAAATCTTTGCTCCTAATATCTTCAGTAAAACAAAAGAAATTTTAATTATTGATGAAAAAGAAAAATGTTGCAACACATATTAAGGAATCAAATGCATATAGTTTCAAGTAAAAACAAAACAAAATCCATTACTTTATGGAGTCTGAATTAATTCAGTTAAAATAAAGAGACTCCAATGGATCTATATTTGTGCAGACAAAAATACAAAAACTGTCAGAAAAAACATAGGATATTGGTAACCTGTATGAAACAGTAAAAATGTAATGTTGTAAAGCAAGGGACTGTAAAATAAGTACGACTGTTACATGGGGCAGTGTGTAGTGACCAAGTCCCTCCCGTTCTTGCAGGGCATAGCAGCGTTGCGCAGACTAGGCCGGCCCCATCCCTGCCCCTTCTGCACCAAAGTCTTCCCCTTCAAGTCCATCCTTCGCAACCACTTACGAATTCACACAGGGGAGAAGCCTTATGCATGTCGAGTGTGCGGGCGAACATTTAATCACTGCAGCAACTATTATAAACACGAGAGATCTTGTGCCCTCAAGCTTGCAGAGTGTGCTGAGGATCAGGCTGGTGTAACCTCAATGCCTTTTGGTGGAGGGGAACTTTGGGGCGATGCTGGATCAGGAAATACACCAGACTCACTCCAACAGTCAAACACCAGCAATACACAACCTCAAGCACACTCCCTGTCACAACAGTCTCATCAGCCACATTCTTTATCATCACAGTTGTCATCACATACACTTATATCTCAGCCTCAGTCAATGTCTCTCTCCTCACAACAGCAAACACTTCCTCATACCTCACAGTCCCAGACCCTGCCTCTTTCTACACAACAGCCGACACTCTCCCGAACTTTGCCATCTCAGTCACATCCAGGAGATCATCAGGCACATGCTATCCCACCACACACTTAGTCACACCCTGTCAACACATCACATCATCAAACATAATCTCTCATATCGTCTGTTTCCCATATCCATGTGTTTCTTATTTTCAGAGCAGCTAACAGACAGGACCCTTTCAGTGCTGAATTTTATCCACATAATACAATACAATATAAGTTATATTTTTAGAGCTCATCCCTTTTCATAGTTCATTCATGCCTTTCCTATTATACACTCACACACCATGGACTTAACCACAACCTATCATATTATGACCTCAGTCAGTTTGAGAACCCGTTTCTACTTCTGTACAGTAGTCTAAAAGTAGCATAGTATTTAAACCAATTAAGTATGCCCTATGGGCCATCAATAAGTGACTTGCAAGCCTTACTTCTTAATCACTCCCTGGAAGAGTCTACCTTTGTCATAGGGCCTCTACATGTTGAATGGTCAGAGGCACTATGACTGTCAAGACAGACAATGGTTTTGCTGTAGGTAGCCTTTGCAGCAAAAGCATTGTCTGTATGGATAGTACATCCTGCCATCCTGTGATTAAAAGGTATGAATCTTGAAACTGCCTCATTGATGATCCTTAAGTCATCAACTCGTTAAAACAAAATCAGGTACAGTAATAATAAAATGTTTTAGTTAGTTGACAGCAGTGATTAAGTCCATATGACAAATTATTCAGCTAGGTAATATTAAAAAGGTTCTGCTATAGAACATAGTTTGTGTTAACACTCAGTTGAATTATTATAAGTATTCCAAGGCATTTATACCAGGCATTGTATTTAAATGTTTTGAGAATGGACATAATGTATAGATTAATGTTTTGTTATTATCCCAATATTCCATCATACCATACATTAAGAGAAAAAATATAATTGCATATTATAATTATTTTGTTATTCAGTATTGTTCTTTAAATTTATACATTTTATATATCAGTACACCTTATATCAAAGCTTGTTTTAATTTTTATGGCCTACGAGTCATGAATCAATCTTGATGGAGCTTCTTTTGTCCAGTGGGATATATCTCCTGAAGCAGGGACATTGTCCTACATGGATCAAATTGCCTGAACAGTTGCTTGCCAGGAAAATTAGTGGCTGGTAAGAATATTATCTCAGCTACAGTACAGTTGTGGTTCATAAAACATACAAGTCTAACTGTCACTGAAGTGAATCTCATTCAGAACCACATGACTCGGCCCTCATTTTTCCCCTGGCTCTCTTCTATTCTACTCACAATGGAACGTTTTTCTCACAAAGTTTTCTTTTGCTATACAGTATAGTATCATAAATTATGTTTGCATTTTTTTATCTATTGGGCATTATGACATCATGCTGATCTGCTCGGTCTTTCTATATTATCATTGAAAGTTGCTCGACAAGTGGATCTACCCTACCCTGTGCTATGCAGTATTAAGGAGTATTCTTTGTAGATATAAACCAGCTTGAATGTGTGGACACTTCATACACAAGGATTTATTGTCTTGATTATTACCATGTAGTGGATAGTTGAAGACTACAGGTGTTATGTATTGTTTGGGAAGAAAAAAATGGTTTCACTAGTGCTTAATTTAATCTTTTATATTTGATGGTGTTTGAGCAAATTTTATTCTCCACCCATGTATGATACAACAGGGAAGACATCACTTCAGTTCACATAAAGTGATCCTCTCATCACATTACAACAGTTTGGAGTACAGTACAGTACATATACAGGGGGTCCCCGACTTACGAACACCCGCCGATACGAACGAGGTCCCATAAGGTCAATTATTTTAAGAATCTGACATAAGTACAACTGGTTCATTGTGTTAACGTACGAGAACTAATTTGAGTGGCATAGTGGTTAGGCGAAGCGGTGTGTGGGGAGTAATGCATCACCCAGCCATGCACCTTGAGGGAGCATCAGTACCCTTTACCCTCACCACAGTAACGTTTGTGATCAACTGCAACTGTTGTTTTTTGCTCATCAACTCTTTTTCTGCCCCCATCATGGCTTCTAAATGCAAATAGTAGTGTATCCAAGAAAAAGAAAATAATTACAATGGAAGTGAAAGTTAATGTAAATAAACGTTCTGAAAAATGCGAAACACCCTGTCATTGGTAAAGCATTGGGCTTCAATCTGTCAACAGTCGGAACAATTTTGAAAGACAAACAGGAAATTCTTGAACATGTAAAAGGTTCTACACCAATGCATTCAACTGTGATAACAAAACAAAGAAGTAGATTGGTAATTGAAAAGGAAAGATTGTCAGTGATATGGTTGGAAGATCAGCCAGTCCCAGGTTTCACTGTAAGTGTCAAACTTTAATTTTTACTTTCCTTTACTGTATTTTGTCATTCAGTTAATCCCTTCCTTTCTCTTAAATTAAGTGATTTGAGATGTATAAGAGGACTTAGGCTACGGTATAGTGCACATAGGGTACCGTATATGTTCTGACTTACGTACATTTGCGGCTTAAGAACGTCCTCAAGAACGAAACTTGTTCGTAACCCAGGGACCCCTTGTATTAAATTCCATGAATACTGTACTGTTCTACAGTACTAATTTGCACTTAGGAGTTCCTTTTCTCATTTACTATAATGTACAGTAGTCCCTCACCAACCGCGGGGGCTAGGTTCCTGGAAAACACTATGGTTGGCAGTTGGTAAGACTAAAGGCATATAGGAAATAGAGGGTTTGGTTCCACAGCCATCAATAACACTCATCAAAGCCTAACTACAACGCTTGATGAAACAATCCCCTGAAGCATGCCACAAAAGGGAAGGGTCACCCTGTCCTTAGCTGCCTTAATTCCTAAAGCAGACCTCTCAGCCTTGATAATGAATGTTCTTTTTGACAATCTTTAAAAATAAAAATGCCAGTCTTGTCCTTGTTGAATACCTGCTCTGGTAGATAACCCTTTTCCTGAATCAACTTCACAAATTCTTCAGGTTACATCTCAGCGGCCTGGTGATCAGTTGATGCAGATTACCCAGTGAGTTTCACATTGTGCAGGCTGTATCTTTTCCTAGAGTTTTCAAACCAGCCCTTACTGGCTTGAAATTTTATGTCAGCAACACTTCCCTCATCCACACTTTCAACAAGGTGGCCATAAATCCGCCCGGCCTTCACACGTATCACCTTTAAACTTCAAGCCACATTTTTCTGGACTTGGTCTTCCATTTATATGTTCAGTGCCTTTTCCATCTTTTCAAGATTACGGTCACATGGCATCTAAGTTACTTTTGCACTTTTCCATGTGCCACCAGCAACCCTAGCCTTTATTGTAGCCTCACTTTTCTTGATCGTATGAATCTTGGATTCTTTTACCCCCATGGGGTGTCCCACTGATGTCACGCTCTCGCCATGTTCTAATCTATTGAGCCCTTCAACTTTCTTTTCTCACCTTTGTCACAAATGCACAGTGCCCACTTAGAGGACATAGTTTAAGGCAAAATCAGTGTTATTACACTAGAAAATATGTAATATTATATCCAGTGTACAGATCAGTAAAGTACATCTGCACAGTATGAGAGCACAACATTAAGAGAGCAGTGGCGGAAGAATACTGTACATTGGAAGATGGAGGGAAAATGACGCCTCGCTAACCTGCAGATATAGTACTTGAAATTCATTGTCGCAGTTGGTGAAATGGTATACAGAGTAAAAATCGTCGGGATCTGGAATCCGTGGATGGGAAATCCGCGGTTAGCGAGGGACTGCTGTAGTTTTGCTCTGAGTGCAGTAGTAATACTACCTCTATATTATAAATTCTTTTGTTCTGTTGCCTTATAACTCGGAATATTTTCTCCTCCTCCTTACTGGTTCAGTACTGTATGATGTTAATAGTATTTTCCCATAACCCTGAGTCAGAACCACCGTTCATTGTGTGATTACAAATAAAACTCCACTTATATATTTTTTAATCATGTATTCAACTGCATTACCCCCGAAATATGTCAAAGTACAGTACCCACAGGAGGTATTTGTATCCCTAATTGAGAACCTGGACTTTATTCTAATCTGTTTAAACAAAAAACTTGGTCTTTCGGAGAAGTTTGAGGATTATTATCCAATACTCAAAGGGATTCTTATTTTAACCTTACTACAGTACAGTACCAGTTTTGTAGTATTAGAAACTCACTAATTTGACTGATTTTCTGTTCAGGTCAGTACAGTACAGTAATATCTGTACTAACTTTGCCCAATGATAATTAAATCTTAATTAATGTGTGTAACACTTCGAAGTTCTTAAGATTAAACCTCTTTCATTATCATCATCACTGTTTTATGTTCATTTTCCATGCTTGCATGGGTCAGCCATGATAACCATGCAGCCCCTCTCCTTAGGTTCTTATCCATGAGGACATTTTGGACAACCTCTGCCATGTCATTCTTGGCTTCCTTCCCTCCACATTGATGCTTCTCTTTTAGGTGCTCAGTCATTTTTTCTGACATTTTATTCCTATACAGTAATGTGTTCCTTTCCTCACTTGACAGATTACTTTTAAGGCATAAAACAAAAAATTGAACATGAAAATCTTGGTGTTAACTGGAACAGTATGAAGCTCATACTTTAGAGGCTCAAATTTGTGGCTGGTCGATCTGAGGTGTTTGATATGGCAAGGTATTTTATGGTTGTGGCTCTTCAATTTGTTTGATTTTCAAAGCACAGATGGATCATGGTTGAGGTATCACACTCACTAACCACTTATTTACCTGGTAAACAGTTGCTTAGACATCATCATCACTGTTTTACTGCCATTTTCCACACTTGCTTGGTGTTCTAGCTGCCTTCAGGCAAATTTGAAGTAAATTTTACACTCGGATATCCTTATTATCACCAACTCACCTTGACTGAGGAGGAACTGGGCATTATAGTTATATTGTACTGTATAAGACTTCCAAATACCTAATTAGCTGGCAAAGTAGCATTGTAATTCCATGAGTTAACCAAAGATTACCTGCCTATTTATCTTTATAGGACAATAAACCTACTTCAGAACACATAACCCATGGACAAGGCAAGCAGGCTCTGCTAGGAGGGTATCTCACTAGTTACTTGACTCTTTCTCTTATCCATACAATTTTTTTTTCCATGATATACAAAGGAACTTTTAAGTTAAATACATCCAGCACTCTGGTTATGTTTTGTGTTCCATCAGTCATTTATGATTAACACATTTGTTAAATAATTACTGAGGTACATATTAGGTGAAAGCTTCATACCTGTCTCCATGTATTTATCCATTTATTTAATTAGTATTAAATGAAACAGGATAGTGGATTCTGTTTCCTTTAATACTAATTATATAAATGGAGTTCAGTAATCATACACAATATCTTAATGTAAATGCTGTAGTTAGACTCCCTGGTTCTGTAATTATTGTACAGTACAGTATATACTAGTAGCTTTTATAGAGGATGTGTAGAATTTAAAGTGAATTGGTTACCTGTAATTGAGTATTTACTTGATATTCATTTACCTATTGTTTTTTATTTGTAACTAACACATCATCAAGACAGGTATTGGCCTCACAATTTGTTAAACTGCCTGGTAGAACTTAATACTGTACAGTACTGTACTGTAATTTTTAACTGCAGTATAGTTGCTGTCCTTATACATTGTTGTTCAGTACTAATGTTCACCACATTACAGTAGTCCAATAATTTATACCATAATTGAATTTTTAATACACTAAGTAATTGAGAAATAATTTTGTTTATTGTGTCAACACAGTATTAAAGCTTTGCTTCAGATAGATATTAATTTCACGGGAGCTAATTGACAGTTTGTTGATCAGGTATGTACTGTACTGTACTGTACAGTATTTGCTTTGTAGAGGACTCTGTAGCTCTGTAATAAGATTATAGACTAATCTTACCTAAGCTAGTGTGAAAAGTACAGTGTTTAATTAAGTTCAGTTGTGAATAGAATATTTATTGTCCAACAAAAATGTTGCCATACTCTACTGTATAACAACTTCATCATCCAGAGATATTAAATACTGTACACTAGTTTGATGACAATTTAATTTGGAGAAATACGTACTTTACACACACAGAACAGAATCATGTTGTGTCGCAAGGTTTGTGTGTTTCACCTGCACAAAAAAGCAAACCCCTGGTAATTCGGAATTAGCTAACTCGTAATGCGATAATAACTCGCAATAGCAGTAAAATATTCAACTATAAATTAATTTTTAAATAATTATTTTTCACAGAAAAAAAATACAGTATTTTGCATAATTCACAATGTTCCGAGATATGATGATGCAATCTTCAAATGGCATAACACGTGTCACCTTACACTTGGGTCTCACTCTTGCACGAGCTAACCCACCCAGCATCTCTCTCTAGCTCAATGTGTTTATCATTTGTCTGTGGTCATTTAAAAAAAATACAATTGTGGCTTAGAAATACAGTAATCCCGTGTTTTTTGCGGGAATTATGTTCCTGAAACCCCCGTGAAAAGCCAAAACCGCGAATACTCTTTTTGGAATCACTGTACCTGTGGCCACCAAACAGCTCAGGTAGGTCATGCACTTAACCACGCCATGCTCTACTCTCACGGCCCAGTGGTCACACTGGCATTTACTAACATCATTATATGAAACTAATCATAATGTAGTATAATAATGGAAAAACGTAAGCACAGTTATATACAAGAAATGTTTATTCACAAGTAAATAAAAAAATTTATATTTCGCTGAGGTCGGCAACACCCGCATTGCCAACCTCTCTCTGCTGTCCCGGCGTCTGCCGCCCTCACTCAGTCACGCCAGCCAGCCAGTCCTCTTCCACCCACATTCCTCCACTTGAAGCCTTGTATTCTGACAAAAGACACAAATGAATTGTCAGTCTTCACCACATCTCGAGCCATCTCATACCACCTCTGAGCTTGTCCAATAAAACTTTTTTTTTCCGTTAAGGTCATCACTAGTCTTGAGCTCTTGGTCGCTTTAGAGTCTTTGCTAGTAATATTTGCCTTTGATGAGGCTGGCTTACGTTCCGGAGCCATGTGGAATGCACGTGGGAGGACAAACAGAAGAGGTAATCACAGTAGCGTTCACAGTACAGTAGGCACGTGTGGACTGAGGCTTCTCGGAGCAGCAGGTGTCTAAGGCGGGAAAGGGTGGCGTCTGTTTGCCTCACCGCTCGGGAATATCTAAAATGGCGCAAAATTTAAATTTTTGTTTTTAAAGGATATTTTATATACAGTCAACCCTCACTTTACGCGGTCCCACATTCCGCGTTTCCACGTTTACACGGTGCCCTGCCAGAACCCAGGATGCTCACATTCCGCGGTAGGTGTACCCCTTTACGCGGTGAAGTATAATTTTTTTATTTAGCTCATAAAATTCATACAAATTATCCAGCCAGAATATAATTTACATTGCTGGAATTCTTACAATTTGATGATCATTTTGAATATAAACATCATAGATTTTGCATTAGACATACAAATTTTAGATATAATGTTTACTCTGAGTAAATATGTTATCTTTTGTGCAAAATATATGACATTTATATTCAAAATATTCCTGGTTTTACAAGGAATCCAGCAATGTCAATTATATTATCCTAACTTTAATCTGAGGTATTATTTAATACTAAATGTTAAAATCTAGTTTTTTCACCCACCTTTCTCTTGAAGGGAGGGTTGGTGGGGGTGGGGGGGAGGGTTGGGACAGACTGACCATCTGGCGCTTGGAAGAGGGGGGGAGGCAAGGTGGGGTACTTTGATTGACAGATAGTGTCGTGAAGAATATTTTTTTTTTATTAACTGAAGATATTTGTTTTAGCTCATAAAATTCATACAAATTACCCGGCCAGAATATAATTTACATTGCTGGAATTCTTACAATTTGATGATCATTTTGAATATAAACATCATAGATTTTGCATTAGACATACAAATTTTAGATATAATGTTTACTCTGAGTAAATATGTTATCTTTTGTGCAAAATATATGACATTTATATTCAAAATATTCCTGGTCTTACAAGGAATCCAGCAATGTCAATTATATTATCCTAACTTTAGTTTGAGGTATTATTTATTACTATACCTGGTTTTCCCCCCAAAATTTCTCAGAGAAGGACTGTATTTCTCTATTTCTCTTAAGTATTAATTGTGTGCATGTACCATCATAAAATTAAGATGTTATTTTTACTAGAACATAGGTATTGTGTTGGAAAAACTGGAGTTTGGGGGCCAGCTCTTCTCTATTTCATTTAATCCCATATGTTATGTTATTCACTTTACGCGTTTCTCACTTGCGGTACCCTGTGGGTTACATTAACCGCATAAAGTGAGGGTTGACTGTATACAGTATACAGTGGTCCCTCGGTTAACGAATGCCTCGGTTAACGAAATTTCGGTTAACAAATTACCTTCCATAAGAATCTTCAATTCGGTTAACGAAAAAAATTTGATTAACGAAATCCTTACGAAAATCACATTTTGTTTTGAACATCAGCTGATAAGCTGAGGAGGTACTCAGCCAATTCAGTGATCTCTTCTATGTTTACATTCAAATTAATCACTATCTTATAAGAATTCCAGCAATGCAAATTAAATTCATCCCGGTCACTTCTATTAAATTTTATAAGCAAAAAACAAAAACTCAATCTAAAGGACATAAATTAACAATTAAATACTTCACACCACAGGCGCCAACTGTCAAACATGTCACTGTCACCCCTCCCTCCCTCCCTACCCCCCATCTTCCTGAGAAACGTTTGGGGAAAAAGACTAAGTTTACAGGTTTAAAAATAAATTGTACCTCAGACTAAAGTTAGGAGAATATAATTGGCATTGCTGGATTCCTTGCAAGACAGCGAATAATTTGAATTTAAACGTCATATATTTTGCACGAAAGATAAAATTTTTGCTCTCTCTAATAAAATTCTTAAATTAGATCTAAAATTTGTATGTCTAATGCAAATTTTAGCTTGTTTATATTCAAATTAATCACTATCTTATAAGAATTCCAGCAATGTAAATTATATTCTGGCCAGGTAATTTCTATGAATTATATGAGCTAAAAACAAAAATCTCAAATAAATAAACAAACAAACACCAGACACTCTGACACCTCACCTCCTGCTCCCCCCTTCTCCCCCCCTCTTCCCACGCTCGCTGGCTACCTCCCTCCTTGCTGTTCCCAGACAAAAGATTGGTGATTTCTTTATGCTTTAAGGTGTTTATTTTATATAATATCTCAGACTAAAGTTAGGATAATATAATTTGCATTGCTGAAATCCATGCAAGACAGGGAATAATTTGAATATACACTTCATATAATTTGCACAAAAGATAAAATTTTTGCTCTCCCTAATAAAATTCTTAAATTAGATCTAAAATTTGTATGTCTAATGCAAATTTTAGCTTGTTTATATTCAAATTAATCACTATCTTATAAGAATTCCAGCAATGTAAATTATATTTTGGATTTACATACACTTTTCTGTGAGCTGGAACCAATTACCCAATATCCCATTGAAACAATGGTTTCGGTTAACGAAATTTTCGATTAACGAATGACCTTCTGGAACGAATTGTGTTTGTTAACCTAGGGACCACTGTATATACAGTCTCTCCTCGACTTACGACAACCCGGATATACGACCGCCATGGTCATAAAAATATTTTTCACATTACGTATTTTCGAGTCCTGATGTTTGGTCGTAATGTGACACCGTACGACAGCTTGGGCTGGGCTGCCTTGTGGTGTACAGCATCCATGCCTTAGCCTGCTCAGTTGGTGTTTGGCCGTTGTTGTTGTTAGTGATCACGCTGTGTACTGACAAAAAAATTTTTGTAATTCCCTTTAAAATGGCTGGCAAGCGTAAAAGTGAGAGTTTTCGTGGTGCTGAGAAGAAAAAGAGACAGTCAATTACTTTTCAGATGAAAATGAAAATAATAATACAATATGAAAATGGAAAATGGTAGTAACCATTTCACACGACCTTAGCTTCTCTCACTCGACGATATCAACAATTTTGAAGGACAAGGAACGAATTCTTGAGGTAGTGAAAGGATCAGCACCTATAAAAGGAACAATAATAACAAAAAAAAGACAAGGTCCTCTTCATGAGATGGAGAAATTACTTGTGATGTGGATGGAAGATCAGCTGCAAAAGCGTGTACCCTTAAGCCTTCTGACCATACAGGCTAAGGCAAGAAGCCTTTTCGAAAGCCTTAAAGAGCAGGCAGGAGATGAGTGCGACCAAAACTTCACAGCAAGTCATGGGTGGTTCCAAAGGTTTAAGAACGTTACAGTTTGCATAGTGTAAAGGTGAGTGGAGAGGCAGCAAGTGCTCATGTGGGTGCTGCCGAAGCTTTTAAGGAGGACCTAGATCGTGTCATCGTGGAGGGAAATTATTTGGCTGAGCAAATATATAATGTGTATGAAACTGGATTATTCTGGAAGCTCATGCCAAAACGGACATTACTGTACATCCACAAAGAGGCGAAAACCGTGCCGGGATTCAAGGCATTCCAGGACCGAATCACAATTCTGTTGGGGGGGGAATGTTGCTGGTTTCAAGGTAAAACCCTTCATAATATATCTTTCAGAGAACCCAAGGGCTTTTAAAAATGTCAGCAAGCACACACTGCCAGTGTTTATTGCAGTAATAAGAAAGCATGGATGACCTCAGCACTGTTTGAGGATTGGTTCCTGAGTTGTTTCATTCCACTAGCCAAGGAGTATTGTCTGCAACAAGGGGTTGCATTCAAGATTTTATTAATTTTAGATAATGCCCCAGGACACCCACCACACCTGGACAACCTGCAGGTAGTCTACCTTCCACCTAACACTACCTCTATCATCCAACCCATGGATCAAGGTGCTATTGCTGCTTTTAAAGCGTATTATTTACCTACGACCTTCGCTCAGGCTGTTGCTGCTACTGAAGGTGAGAAAATACTCAGAGAGTTTTTGAAGGACTACAACATTTTGCAATGTACAAAGAACATAGCTGCAGCATGGGATGGGGTTACAAGTCAGTGCATGAATGAAATATGGAAGAAGATCCTGAAAAGATATGTGAACAGTTTCAAAGGATTTAATGAAGATGAAGCAATTTATGAGATTAGTAACAAGATAGTGCAGATGGGTCAACAGCTGGAGTTAGAAATTGATAATGAAGATGTTGAGCAGTTGGTGGAAAGTGTAGCAGAAGAGTTAAGTAACAAGGATCATATTGAACTGGAGGCACAGAAAATTGCTGACGAAGAAGAGACACAAAATGCAAAAGAAGAACCTGCACCCCCCAAAAAGTGTTCAGTGAAACAAATGGCAGAGGCATTTGCTACTATTAATAAGGGGATGCAAATGTTTGAAGAAATAGATCAAAATGTTGAGCATTTTGCAAAAGTTGACAGACTGATCCAAGATGCACTTGCTTGCTACAGGGAGATTTACAATGAAAAGAAATGGCAAACTGTGCAGTTTAAATTGGACATATTTTTTAAGAAGTCCCCCACTGCTGTCTCCTCATGCCCCACCACTGCTGCCTCTTCACTCCCTAAAGATGATCCAATACCTTCAACAAGCAAGTCTGTTAGCCTGTCTGAAGAAAGCAAACCTGATGACCCACCCAGCCCGTTCTCCTCCTCTGCTTCATCCAATTAATGTAGTCTCCATGCTTAA